TTTTGGCCTGAAGCTGGAATCCAGTATGAAACTCTTTCCGCTGTTAAAACAATGATTTTCAAAGTACGGATTGTTTGATCGTATCCTGTTAGTATCTACACATACATTTAATATAGCTACAATACTAGCTATAAATCGATTTTAAAAAAAAGTATCATTTCGTTGCCGTCCCCAATCGCGGAGCTTGGGCGATGTCGTTTGTCGCCGGTATGAGGAAGTGGGTTCCCGTCACGACCCAGGTCCACGCGAGGTCATTGCGGCGAGTCGGCTGCAAAGGTCGGGTGCACTGCTTGCTTTAATATGGTAGTACCACGTACTTTGACATGCTACGATGAAACGTTCAAGCAACGGTTTAGGAAGTGTAGGTTCACCACTATACTTTTTGAAACATTTGAATGCTGTACTGGTTTAATGTGTGCCTGCGAGACTGCTTTGAACTGAATGGTTTAATACAAATCATGCTTATTTTAAAAATATTTAAATATTAATCTAAATTGTCTCATTATAGTGCGAGAAAGCTTTCGCAAGGCAAAGCAACTGATATTGACAAGTTTGGCAAAACATTAAATATTGGAAATTCTAGATGTAAGAAAATATTTTAATTACATGAACTCATTACATGAAAAACATTGCCATTAAATATGAATAACATTATGAATCTTTCGAATTCATGTTCTAAATTCATGATATTGCTAAAGGACGGGCGCGCAGTTCCTATTATGAGTCCCTAACACACTGCTGTGTTCGGAAATGTAACTACTGTTAATAGTATAGTAGTTTCTAACATGAACAAAGTCTAGTCTAGACCTCGAACCGAAGGATCGCGGGTTCGAGGCCCGCCTCGTGCATGGCTGTATTTGTGTTCGTCCTTTCACCTCCTATTATCACCATAGCATGTCATCTTCACCATACCGATAAGTGCAATAGTGGTCGCTAATGACCTAGATGTTGATGCGACCTTAAATAACAAAAAACAAAAAAAAAAAGTCTAGTCAAGGACTAGTGCCGCCTTCTTCATTTATTGCTGTTTAGTCGACCATTGTCTACATGGTGAATATCAACTTCCTTCAAGCGCTTGTTTTCAGTCGCCCTATTTTACCATTTCATCGGAAAGACCATTAAATTATTTTGGAAGGGTCATATCAATTTTTCAATTTAAGGTATCTGTTTTGCTTGACTTGTTAAAATGTGAGCACTTCAAATTGGTTCGGAACTTCAAATTTTGCGTTCTTTAAAACAAAAATTAGTTTTATTTTTATGAAAAAATAATGTGTTGGGCATCCATTGCAGAGACCTCGGAGAAAGAAAACTGAGTTTAAGATAATGGTCCTCGGTAGGCATTGCAAGAGAAAGTGGTTCTCTTCATAACAAGAAGACCGTTTTGAATATAGCCTTCAACGTGCCTTTGGGCAACACTGCAAATGGTAGTTTGACGAACTAGTGGTGGTACAAGAGCACATACTATCTCGCATTATTGGTAAATTTTGACACTTCGGAGAATTCAACGAAAACCGTACTTGGGGCATTTTTATCCGCATATTCGCACATCCCGAGAAAAAAATTATAGAAAAAATGTGCAGTCGTTTCTGCGAAAATCTTGCACGTAAAATTAGTGAAAACTACTCATTTTTTGAATGAACATGATGTTAATTAAATATCTACCTTCGAAAAACAGATTTTATTTCGAAAATATCTTTATCTTTAATATTGTAATTGTAGGAAGGCGTCGAAAAAAAACAACTCTTGTAATTTTCTAAAATTCAGAAAATTCAATGAAATGCGCTTTTTTCAAAACCGTATTTTTCTCTATTCGACGGGAAAATGTAAAGAAACAATTCTGAGCCATTTTGAGAAAAGTACGTAAATGTCGTTGGGGCTGCACATAAAGTACCTCCCAAAATCAAATACCCGTTTCAATTTCAAGGGGCCTCGGCACTAAAAAGATCGGTTAGGAAATATCAAGTTGGACGAAAATCCTGCCTGGTTTAGCCGCTAGCGTTGTTCACGGACGGACGAACGTACGGACTATTGTGGAAAAAAGGTGTCAATATTAAAGACCACAAAACGTGGATTCTTACTATGCAACATACTAGAGGAAGTTAACTAGTAAATAAAGGAGCAGGAATGTTCTATTTTTTCAGTATACCACGGGAACCAGAATACGGGGTTTTCCGTCGAAAAATGGCCGTTGTACACCGCAGCAGTTCAATACTTTTTTCTATACTACGTAAGTAATTTGGTTTGGGAGAAAGTAAAAATATGAGAACCTTTTAGAGTGTAGGTCTGTAACTCGTTGCTCGCCATTAACAGGTCGCTCGCCATGCCGTTCCAGGATCTAAGAAACTTGCGGAGAAAGTTTTAGTAAATCCGTGTCTTTTATTCTTTAACCTCCGATTATGACAGCAAGATGGCAGCGTGTAATATGACGGACGAGCATTCAGTCTCATAAAAAAAATCATATTTTTTCAATTGTATTGCAAGGAATAATACATATTATACAGGTTGTTTCAATAAATGTTACATACTTCTAGGGTGGGTAGAGGATCGAAAATGATAACATTTTGCCAATGAACATGTGGTGGGAAATGTTATACAATGAAGAGAGAGATGCGACATTTGCCCCTGGTCGATAGGCAACTCATCATGCTCTGATGTTTCGTGCTGCACGTTCTGACGCAGGAAACAAATTTCTGCTATCTGCGAAAAACCCATGACTTGAATAATTTCGAAATATATTTTTTACCACAAGTCCATTGAGAAAAATCAATTTTCTTCGACCCCCATATTCGCCCTAGAAGTTTGTTTCATTTACTTCGGGACCCCTGTATATGTAAACTGATGTGCCATTGTTAAATACGTCTCTAATTGAGTATTTCAGGTAAATGCCAACCAATGCCTTAGAATCTAAGTCATTGGCATTGGCTAAGGCATTGAAGCATCTGGGAGCCTTTTTTAAAAATGTATATGTATCTGTTTTTAAATATCTTTTTGCGAGGGTGTTACATAAGATCTCTTTTTCGAAAAACAACTTATAACCGGAAACGTTGTCGAATATTAGTGAATGAAAAGTGCGCATACGTTTTTCCAGAATAAGTGAGCTCTGAATAGCAAATATTTTGATTTAATGATTGCAAAAAATTAGATTACAAAAATTGTTAAACCAAAGGAGGTTTGGGTTCGATTACTTTCCTGTAAGAACATAGACATTAAGATCAATAAAAATAATCCAATTGCAGATTTAGACATTTGACTTGGAAATTTCCAAAGCATTGTGGCATGTTCTAGTGAAATTAGTATTGCGTCAATATAAACCCGGGGGGGGGGGCAATTGCCTTATCTGAATGACCCTCTCAATGCAAGAGGTGCGCTTCGTCAGAAATTGCAACGTCAAAGAGACGGAGTGAAGAACAGCGAGGGAGATGAATCGAAAAAAGGGGAGAGAAAGAGAGGGAGGGGAGGGAGTGGGAGGAAGGCAGAGACGGGGAGATGAAAGGAGAACGAGAGGAGAGGGGGGAGATGGAGAGAGAGGCTGAGGACGCGGAGGGCGTGGCTTGACGTGCCAAGGCCGCCAGGTAGATTCTACGATTCGAGTGTTAGCTGCGTCAGTATGAAGCTGGACAGATGGCTCATTTACTTGGGATGGTATATGCAGTATGCCTCGAACTATAATAACAAATAAATTAAAAGTATGGTTCACTCATATGTTTGTTCGTTTGTTTTTATTTAATGGCATCAACTTCCAGATCATTAGCGACCACTATTACTTATAACTGTATGGAAACTGTACTGCCTTAGCGGTCTCGGCTATGCGGACCGGCGTTTGTTTGTTTGTTTGTTTTGTTTCTTTGTACAAAAATACGAGACACCAAAATGTTGGTTCTGAAGGTGTTGCGAAATCACAAAAGGGACGAGTCAAGAAACAGGATATTATATTTTTCTTTATATTTTTATTACAACTCTATTCAACAGGGGATGTATCATTGGAATGTAACCGGTATTTTGTTGTTGGAGAGTAAAATGTGAAAAAAGTGCTGTCATACTCTCAAAATTTTGATTTTGTGATCATGCACACAACAAACGAAATTGAAACTGTCCAGAAATTTCAAATCCTATAACTTTCGAAATTTGAAGATAGAAGAGCAAATAATTACCAATTTGAAAGTAAATTTAATGCTACTTGTACTATAAGGTTATTACTGTAAAACATAGATCTGAAGTGCTAGCAGGCAAGGTTTATCGAAAACATAAAAAAATTAAGCGTTTTTTAAAATCGAATTTACTTACAATTAACTCGAAAGCTTTTGGAAATAGAAAAAAGGAAAGAACAATATCATTGGCAATGACCATGATTTTTGTTTTGAGTGCGGTAACTGTTTCCATAATATGCACCATTTAAGTGAATAATAATTTTTACTTGAATGCTGTGTTTGGCGTGATTGGAATGTGTCATATTAAAACGTTCTCGTACCTTCGAGATGTGCGGCGGACGTGGGATTAAGGTCTTATCTCTTTGCTTTTCCGCGTATTCTAAAGCAGAAAATACGATTTGTACTTTTTAGACATTTTACCCCTTAGCGAGAAAACGGGGCGAAGGAAAAGTGCAGGTCTTTTCGTCACCCAAAAAATGTTTCTCGAGACAACGGGACGGACTCGGAAAAATGAATCTCCGATGTTACGGGACGAATACGAACCCTAGTGAAGAACAATATTTAAAAGTAGAAGAACAAGAAGTTTTTTAAAAAGTTTTAAAATTTTCAGGTAGTATAGTAGAAGATCACAAAGATTTACGAGGGGAAGAAGTAGAATATGTCAACAATTAACAAGAGGAAGCACCAGAAAGAGAAGACGACGAAGTTTTACGAATGGAAGAAGAAGAAGAAGAAGAAGAAGACAAAGATTTAGATGCCAGTCGCACGACATAGATTTACCAGTGAAAGGTAAAGAATGACTAATGGAAGAAGACAAATACTTAGTTGTGAAAGAAGAACACAGGCTTACTAATGGAAGATGAAAACTGCGACAAAGATTTAGAAGTGGAAGGTGAAGTCATTTATGACGGTGGGTTACGAGTGAAAGACGAAGTCGTTTAACAAGGCGATTTAGAATTGAAGAAGTCAGTTTTTGAATGAAAGACGATGGTTGAATGAAAGTCGTTGGAGACGATGATTTACGAGTGGATGGCGAAGTCGTTGAAAATGATTTGCAAGTAGAAGACGAAGTCGTTGAAGGCGATGTTTCACGGGTTAAAGACGAAGTCGTTGAAACGATGATTTACGAGTGGAAGACGAAGTCGTTGAAGACAGTGATTTACGAGTGGAAGACGAAGTCGTTGAAGACGATGATTTACGAGTAGAAGACGAAGTCGTTGAAACGATGATTTACGTGAGGAGGGCGTGCTACAACGATGTGCGATTAGAAGAGAAAGAAAATAACCTTTTAGGAGCTTATGATGCTAAAAAACATGTTATGTTTTATAGATGTGGAAATGATTAGTAAAGCCCGGGTTTAGGAAAAAAAGGCACTGAATACTTAATTACATGAGTTTGCGATTACACGTACATCGATGTCACGAATAATAATGGTAATTATACAAATACCTTGACCTTGTGATGCGTTTGTGCTTGAGAGAACAACGTGTGAGTAGTGTTGCAATATCAGTTAATAATTTAAGACAAAGTGATAATACACATGCACAGTTCCCATGTTCTTTCTGATGAGATCGGATGTTCCCTAGAAGAATGACTTTGGACCAGCTCCAGCTCGTGCAGTTTTTACTATAATTCAATACTGGGTCCACTTTTCCTTTTTAGAATGGGTATGATCCCCATTATTAGTATACTAGCTTACCACGGCGCCTCCAGCTTTTTCAAGCAAACATTTTTATTCTATGCCAGTTCACCACAAAAAGAAGTTCTACACATAATATTGTGGCCTAGTTCGAGAATCCTGAGATATGGAAAGTTACATGTGGAAGTAACGATAAATTTGTTTGAAAATTTAATTTTTATTGCAAAATTACGCGGGTTTAATAATATTTTTTTAGAATTCCTTCTGAAGTTTCTAAAATAATAATACTTAGAGTTCCAATCAATTCGTGGTTGAGGAGAGAGGAGTCGAATGAGCTTATGAAAACTTATTTTTAAGAGCCTTAAACCCCTTAGGAATGCCACTTTAGTGATTTACCGCCGTCTCTTCAAATCGAATACGGTTTTCGAGAATCCTCTGATAACGTTCTGGAAGTATTTGTGGTGGAAGGAAGTTTAAATTTTCCCATTAGAGTCACTTGCTGGGTCAATGGCTGATATGCCGGATGAGGACTAACCATGCAAAACAGACTGACCATGCTCGTGCTCGTTACCCGATCTCTGTACGTAGGATTTCGAATTCCAGATTTAAAACTATAAAACAAAGAAAGAGTTTACGTGACTGATGTGCCGGGACGATGCTTTGATTCGCAAAAACGTACTAAATTGTGTAATTTTATGAATTGACGAAATGATAATTTTTAATTACGTTATGGTAATTGTGGAGAGACTATTTTCTTACGGTTGGTACTAGTGAAAATTTTACAAAATTTTATGGTTTTTGTTATTAAGCTAAAAGGCGTGCTGTGAGCTTTGCCTTGTGGGAAAAATATTTTTAACATCTCATAATATGCTGTATATTGAATTACGTCCACTAATGAACTTGTTTAATACCTCTCTTTGGCTTAAATAGTGGTAGGAATCGTAAATAAAATAGAGTGATGCTTATTTGAAATGTCCTAGTTTACCACTGTCGCCTAAGCCTTGTCTGAGGAAACTATTTTTTTTTTTTTTCTGGAATACTCCGCTTTCGACCTGCCAATGCGGTTAAGTAGTTGTAAGAATAAGAAAGAAAAACGTGGTCGTTTTCTTCCACCAGTACTTCTTATTTTGCTTCGGAATGCCGTTCCGACCATTACACCAGGGGTTTGGTGCCCTTTTCTCAAATCGTACGTCTGCGTTTCGAACAACTCAACAGCGCATGCACAATGGCTATCCACGGAGACTAGCGCCTGTGGCGGCTATCGCGAGAACTAGCGGCTCGTGACGAACTCGGCAGGGGGAGGGGCGCGTGGCTGGGCGGGAGAGTCTGCGACTTCCGCGCGTGCTATACTACCATCGCGTGATTCGGCGTCAATGCTCCGTGCATCACCGTCACATGCGCAGCCACCACCGGGGCAAAAAGACACGCTATGCGACAGTGCCGATGTGAATGTCTCTTACGCCAATGTTGAAGTTTCCATTGGACCAACAAAGAATTTTCAATTGTATCGATAAGACAGATTTTACTTGTATATTTTAATAGTACATACCGTACAACCTGGTCCACCAGTCACCTCCATTTAGTGACCACCTCTACTAACGGCCATTTAGTTCATGCAACCGGTTGATTTTCCCATAAGACATGTAATTATACGCGCATTTCAGCGGCCACCTGGAGAGACGCGGCCAGGCGAATTTTTGTAAATTGACCTTTATTAATCGACCACCTCAACCGATTTTTTTAAATTTATTTTCTTTCCGTACGATTTTAGTTTTTGACAGTACGACAACGGGTTTGACGACGACGGGTTTGAAGGCTACAGTATTATGTACAATGAATTTATTTGGCTATTTTCTTGTACTATTTATTCATTCCATGTTTGATTGGGTAAGAACTGAAAGTGAGCTTCTCGACTAAGAGAATGAGTTACAGACGAAGGTTGTGTTTTTATATTAGCTGAGAGGAGGCGCATGATCCCAAATTTCTTGTTTAAATTGTTTTTTATCGTTTAAGGCATTTAAATTTTTTTATAGCAAATAGCGCTTTTAGATTTAATTTACTCTTCCAGTAACTTTGATTAAGTCGTCACCTCTATTAAAGGGCATTTTTGCCGAAACCATTGGTGATTTATTCAATTAATTTAATTAATTAATTCGTTAATTCAAGTTCCACTTCAATTCATTGAAGTGTTTTAATAGAATATGAACTGAGTCTTCAATAATCTTTTCGCCCCTATCGCGCAAATAATCTTTTCCCCCCTACCGCCACATACAGTTTTTACGGCTTTTTTAACTGAATAAATCTAAATAAAGCAATAAATTAATTATTGTAACAAAACTGTCTTCACGAATACTGTAATAACGAAGTTCAAGTGCAAGTGCTCTTGGTATACAAAGAATACCAAAAAAGATGTTGCTCCATAACGCGACACCTTAGTGAATTAGAACTATTTTCTTATGTTTATTTATTTACTTGTTTGACGTTTTATAAAAACTTAAATGTTGCATGGGATTTTTTTTCTGGAAACTTTCAATCAGATGCTGAAACTTGATTTTGAACCTTCTCCGTCCTATCAGATGTATGTGGTGATAATGTTTTTCACTCCGTTCTATTCAGATTGCAATTTTTGCATTCACTGCAATTAGTCTCAGTTTCTATTGCACAAATCGACCGACAGCAAACAAATGCATGATTAAGACATGTACCGTTTGCATTAGACATGTTTTTGATAACGTGAATTTTTTGAATGATGGTTTGATGAGTGTTTTCGCGTGATGGATTTCTATTGACGAGAATATTGCTGATTTTATTGTGCGTATATGTTAATAGTTATTTTTGAATACCTTGCGGTGCAGAAATATTCGAAGGTATCGCAGGGTTTCTCCGTTTGTCCGGGAAATTGAACTGCGGTAACTTGTAGGGACTATATGAGCTAGTCATGGCAGCGATATTTTTGCATCGTCTTGACTAATTGCAAATTTTGGTCCTTCCATTGCTCCTGCAGCTGCCTTTTTTTTTTTCAATGTTATTACAAACGTGACATTACTTGACGTTCGCCGCTCACGGAATATACAGTTGAATAATGGCCGTTATCACGCACAAGAGCACAGATTCTGGAGTACATTCGACGGGCTGGTTCTGAGAGAGGCATTAAACGGGCGGTTGCTGCCAGCCGCAGCCGCGAGGCGCGTGGCGCGGTTATTTTGGGAATTCGAATCAGGTCGTCTACGCGCGCGAACGCTCGCGAACCTGGGAACAGGCATTTGGGGAGGGGTGGGCGGCGCCACACGCCCGCGCCGCAGGTGCCGGGTGCTGCTAGTGAGACTGGCAGCGGCGTCAACAGGATTGTTTCTAGATGGAAAGGGCACAGAGTTTCGCAGCCTCCTATATTACTCATTTCCAATTCGTACCGGGAGAGGTGGCTCAGGGCATCGGCGGATGTCACTGCAGTGTCCGACCGAGAGATGCTGTGGCAGGATTCAGGGTGGTGAAAAGGGGAAGATGGATGTTTTGTCGTCTTGTTTTTTAATATATATCAATGACCCAGAAACGTGGATTCTCGCTACACGTGTTAAAAAAAAGTTAATTACCAATAGGAAGATTTATTCACTTTTTTGATATCACGGCACCATACAACGAATTTTTTGTCCGAATATCGCCAATATTTGCCGCAGCATTGCAGTAATTTATCTTTACTACGTATAGCGTAGTAAGGCGAGAAAGTAAAAATATGCTGTCGAAATTCGTAGTTTGTTGGAAAACCTCTTTTCAGTTAGAAAATTATGATTCGAAAGGAATCTTTATGATCTACTATGACACATAAATAGGAGAGAGGGGAAAATGAAACATAAGGGATGTCAATAAGCCCGTAAACCTTTCCTGAAGATAGTTGACCACTGAAGATTGTTATTGTTCGGATATCCATTCTAATCAAACCATTGCTTCCACTCCTTCCCCATTGCTGCCAAATTTCTTGTTTCGACTGTTGAATATTTTTGTACATATTATTCGTGTTGTCATATCATATCGATAATACTTTTTTTCTGATTAGATATTATCGCAGTGCTCTTATCACACAAACAAGTACAAAAGAGCTAGAAAATAAGTTAATACAAAACCACTATCCCAGTAGGGAAACGGCTTCTGGGCAACATGTTGCTGTGCTACTTTTAATTTAATTGCATTTGTTGAGAAAAGCAACTTCAAAGTCACCAACGGTGCATGGAAATGTTGTACATCAGTGTTGAGTGATTTTTTTTGTCTTCGATTCGTGTACGAATGTTTTCATTACAATGAGGTGGGCATACATGTACAATATATGTTCTATTTGTTGTCTATCTTGACTAGAGTTGTGTGAAACCAATGTTTGTTTGGTGATTTCGTTCTGAATTGTGACTATTATGTGATATGACATCGTCTGTTTTACTTTGTTACCTGTTTTTATTTTCACTCGAAGTGGACCAGCCTAGCTTTAAATAATAGTAATAATAATACAAATGCGTGTTTGCGTTGGTGTTTACTGTTGGTGTCATACATTGATAGTCTTGTGACTTCAGTTCTGTTGGTTTTAACCTGAAGACACTGTTGGTTTTAACCTGAAGACAATAAATGGACAAGGAAACGCAGATCCTACGGTCTTAACCCCATCAGGAATGTGGCAAAAGAAAGTTGTGTTGATATGAGAACACTTACGGCATATCTGTGAGGAAAATAGCTATTACAAAATTACTGATTTGAATACTAGTGATCTTGAGAATATCTCAAGAATCAACTGTCATTAATTGCACTGCATATGCGAACACCTCTGGACTTTCGAGAATACATAGTTTCATAGGATTTCAAAGACACTATACCTACATTATTTCGAAACACTAAAATCGACATTGTTTTCTTCTTAGCATTTCGTTAACGCCAGAAAAAATCCTGCAGGCCCATGTAGCTCGAAGGGTTTTGAGGACTCACAGCAGAGGTTCCCAAACTAGGGAATATTTTTTTTTTATTATTATTTGTTTAATTGTATTATTATTTATTAACTTTCTCAACAATGTTGGACATTACATAATATATCGGTATTCAGATTCAAGACGTATTACAAGTGACACAATGGTTTACTTCATCAGAACACAAATGAAATCAAATTTAGAGATAAGAATACAGTCCAATTAATTTTAAATAAATAATAGAAATATTCATACGCATAGACACATTCGTATAAACCATCCATTATCGTGATACTATCACCATTCCCTCATACTCATACGCATGGCACTCATTCGCCCTGCACGATAGGTTAAACGCTAATTGAGATGAATTCAGTCAAGCTCGTCTCCCAAGAACTTTCTCACAATATGGAAAGTGTCCAGTATCATTGACTTCTCAATTTCTGATAAGTAGCTTTCTAATTGAAGGATTTCTAAGAGTTGCTTCGCGGTTTTAGAATTTAGTGCTGCGGCCGAAGTGATGATGGGTCTATTTTTCTTGACCTTCCACATTTCTTAACTTCATCTGCCAGGCCCTTGTATTGGCTGATCTTGTTATTGTAGCTATTGTCGATATTTTGGGAGAGTGGGTTGTATTATTATTATTATTATTATTATTATTATTATTATTATTATTATTGCGTTTGTCTTCCATCCAAATTTGTGATTGTCGGCCTGCTGCTTCTGTATAGTGTTGTCATTGTTACGTTTTGTACATTGTTTGAAAATGCAATTGCTTTGGTAAGCGGAAACTTTGGTAAAAATTGGAGCTTTGTTACGGAGTTGGGATTATAGACGAGCATAGGAAACGCACAAATGAGTTTTTCATTTTTTTGTTGGCCAGCTCGATTCTCAGCTTCAATCGGCGCAAGTCCGATGGACTTATTGTCACCTCTTCGACGTGGGCAGGGCTTGACAACAAGGGAAGAAGGCGAAGCTGGTAAGTAGAAGATGAAGACTGGAAAATAGACACACATAAGGGTGTTCTTCTGCAATGCAAACTTTAGAACTGGAATTATTAAATTCATTCACCCAACAGTTCACTTCATGTTTTGGTCATTTTGCCGTCAACGAGTGAGTGAGAAATATGAGCTCTACCGCTGGATGATACAAATGTTGAAAGATAATATACATATTCGGTTTTGCTCTGAACGGAACGAATTGAACAGCCCTCTCCAATGAATTTGAAAATCTTACGTATGTTGTTCAGAATGCAACATTATTATAAATTGCGTTATTACTGAGAGTTTCGTAGTATATAGTGGTAAGATAAGGATTAATTGAGTGCGTCATATACTCTACATTCTTTATAAAGCATGATCAATGTAAAAATTAAGGCGGTTATTAAAGTACACTTAGTTTGCCATATCTGTCGAATTGCCAGTGGTTTTTGAGTTTCTGACGGCCTGCCAACCCTTCGCGGGTAATAATCCCTAGAAAAGGATCACAAGGCATTACAAAAAGTGAATAAAATACTACGTAAAAGGTTGAATTACTGACCTTCAAAGTGGTACAATGCGAACAGAGAAATAGAATGATGTAAAAATCATTTTCAGATTGTTGTGAATTAACCCAATGAGATTTTGGGAGTATACAATATTCAATTTCAACCGCTGAGGATTTTTTAAACCTGGCCTGAAGCTTTCTTCTAGAAACATGGGGAATTTGAGAATGACAAAAGTAGGTTGAAAATAAGATGCATTTCATTGCAAGTTAATTTTTTCCTTGTGAAATGTTTAGCTATTAAATATTACCCATCAAGATTTTCAAACTTCATCTTGTTATTCAGACAATCTTGCGAAGCAATCTCAAGCAAACGTTTCCATTTTAATTGATCGTTTCTCATGCCCAGATAACTTTTCATTCCAATATTCTAATTATTAAACCATAGTAAATTTAGTTTTAAGTATTATACTGACAGTTATTAGTCCATGTGACAATTTTTAATATTTAAGGTAAAACGTAAACGATTTTTGTTGACAGCGTTCGTGTGTACGTATGTATACGCACGTATACGTGTATCCACAAATCACCTCCTAAGAACTGCAGTTCTATCAAGATATGACATTATCCATTACCTAGAGTTTTTCCCTGTTCATTTACGACTGTTTTTTTTTCTAGAGTTGAATTAGTCTTCTTTCCCTCGCAATTGTCGGCAGTATAACTAGTACTTAACATATACATTATCTCATTACGCTATTCGCGAAGCACTTCAAAAAATCAGTCATTAAGAAAAGTGTGTACATTTTTTGTTTCTCCATTTGCATTATTTTCTATTCAGATAGAATAAATATTTTAAGTAATGAAAATGGAACAAATGACCCACAAACGTTGATGCGATGTTAACTCTATCACTTCCTTGTAATGCAAAGTAATGTCAGTGACTGTTTAAGTTATTTATGTCCCAATATTACATTGACTTCAAGTGAAACAACTTCGTATAGATAAAATGACCGTAATCACAAAATGGATTCACGTTTCGTGTTTGTAGGTAAATAAGATAAAGTACTTCATTTCAAATACAGCCAAACTTCAGAGTATGGAAAGATCCTTGACATCCGTATCTCCGTTCATCATATAAACCTAAACTCTGAAGCAGATAGTGAAGCGATTGTTACAAAATATGAAAAGTATGCTTTTAAGAAATTGGGAATTGCGATATGTCAACTCGAGCGATATTTAAGTTGTCAGATATGTCTTATCATTAATTGTGTTCCTCCGTCATGACATGATTGTGACTACTCTCAATTGATGTGAATTGTATTTGAAGTCTGGAAAACTGCAGGGGCAAAGAACTATTTTTGAAGAAGAAGAAGAAGAAGAAGCAAAACATTTTTACCTGACTGTAGGAGCTAAGTATACCAAGGCCGATATATTTTGTTTAGGTACAATGTCCGAACATGCTCCTGGTAGTTTAATGAAGGGTTGATTATCTTTCGTGCGTTCAATATTGATTAGCACTCCACTTCTGCAAAGTAGCAGTATGAAATGTGTGTCGACGATGAAGATAGACCATAGTACTGCCTACTGCCACCAAATGGTGATGTTGCTTCTCATAGGTAGCTCATAGTAGCAACAAATATTCCGGCTTGCCAATAAGCTCGTGGGCATAGATAAGACAACATGGAACCTGGCGACGATGGACAGTGTGGAATCTCTGCAAGAAAGAAGTGACTGCTTCTGGCATCCACAAGAGGTTAGTAGCCATGTGTAGAACGTCATCATAAAGTTTCTGATTCGTGTTTTGTTGGGTATTAGAGTTCAAAAACGGCAGTGACTGTGCTGAAAAACGCAAAAGCATTGGACGTCAAGCAACTGCACGATAACCGAAGAATACCCAGCACGTCAGTGACCGGCAAATAGCGTTTGATGGATTAGAAAAGACAACAGGTGTATCACGGGGACCCTCCACACCATTATCCATGAGGATTTGAAGATGAAGGTGTGGGCACAATGGGTGCCCTATGCTCTCACCATGCGCGGCGATAGAAGCGTGTGGAGATATGCCAATATTTGGCTAAACAGTACTGTGCAGATCCAGTACTGTGCATATCTTTCGGCGTCTGAAAGCCATCGATTAGTCTTGGGTTTTCAAAGCCAAGTAGTGATTAAAGTGAGGCCAAGTAGCCTTGGTTTTTCACTTCAATCTATTATAAAAATTAATCTATCTATAAAATCCTGCGTATTCGCTGGATCTGGCTTCTAGCAACTATTCAACGCAATGAAAAAGGTCACCAAAGACGAATTTCATGTAATCGTCCAACCTACACACAAAGTCCTTTCTTCATTGTTATGCTACGTTCTATATTTAAAACTGTGTGGTGCCGGCATACTCCCAAAGAACGGCTTGTTACGCAAATACGGGAGAAAGCCGGCTAACGTACATAGGCTTTGGGAATACTTGTCGGTATTCGTTTGTTCAGTAAATGATTCTTGTGATCAGAAAATAATTGTTGTGACAATCATTTCAACGCCCCAATAGTATATGTGGGAGATATACCAAAAAGATGTTTAATGCCTATGTGAACTAAGACCATATAAATGTCAATGAAATTGCAAGTATAATGCATTACGTTTTAACGCTTACATAACATAACAACATAATATAAAGTACTCTGTGTGTAGGTTGGCATTTAAAAGCATTGTTGGAACACTTTCCTTCATTTGTATCCTCTTTGTCACACTCGTATTCTTCAATTATGGAAAACAATTTCACAATATTTACTAAGTCCTAATTAGAAGAGATTTCCCAATTTTTTTAGATCGCAGTCGTGATTATAAAATCTGCAGCTCGGCAGAATTGCCATAGATGAACTGAATCTATTATAAAAATGTATGTATCTATAAAAATGGCTCGCTAGTCCTGTAAAGTCTCTAGACCAGAAAAAGTTATATGACGTCACGTCACAATATATTAAAAATGAATACTTAATGTCAAAAAATGTAGATTGTAGCTTAATTTCATTCCCTTTTGGTTGATTATTTGGAGGTAACAATTTGAGCTGTAGTTATTCTGCAATAATATTGTGATTGCAATTATGTTTTGAATTGACTATGGAATATGTAATTTCAATAATACTATGATTCAGTAATGTCTTAATTCATTGTTGATGGTGATTTAATATTGAATATACCTCGCAATTGACGCGCTTGGCGTAATTCGTTTGATGAACCGGTTCCCCTTCCGCGCGACGTCTTTGACCCGCCGGCGCCAGGCCCAGCGCCTGCGCCGCGTGTCCTGGGCGGCGAGTCGCGTGCGCTGTGCGCTGGTACGCGGCGCTGCGCCGCCCCCTCACCCGCCCCGCCGCCCGCCCGCCAACCCCGCCCGCTCCACCCGCCCAGCGCCCCGCTTCCACCCGCCCCGCCCCGCCCGCCCGCTGCCACCGCGCCCGGGCCGAGCGGTGATGCACCGCGGAATGCTTGTAGATGCAGATGAATGCGGCGGCTGGCCTCGTTTGGCCTCACAATGCGCCGGCCGTGACGTCCCTCCGACGCGACGCGGAAGGCGGTGGCGTGGCGTGGGCGTGGCGTCCGCAACACGAACGCGATCGTGACACGTGCGCCTAAGCGCCGCGTGCCGCGCCACGCCGCGCGGCTGATCGCGATAGGCAGACGCACGTGGGCGAAACGGAAGGGGGAGGCGAAGTGGAGTCCACTTCGTAAGGCAAAATTAATGACACACCGTGCTGTCTAGGATAATTATTGACAATCTTACGTGTCCTTCGAATGCTTTAGCCATGATTCAGAGCTAAAATTGTGTACAAATAAATCGAGCATTGTGGACAAAGTGATGTATACGTTAAAATGAAATAAATTATATAATAAAATGAAATAATTTCACAATTTTACTCTATTTTACGCAAAAATAGATTGTCTCAAAATTCATTGTTTTCGTGTTGCGGTTAAAGAATAAGAAATGAATAAAAACCGTGAATATAAAATTTTAATCACTTGTAAAACTTAAGCAACATTGATTCATCTATCTTTATTCTCAAGTCCTAATGTGGAATTTTAGTGAAATTTAATTCGAGAGAATTTTGCTCCAACGAGTCATAATTTTCTATCGCCAACGGAAACGTAGTAGGAAAAGTTTGAGGAACAGTGGTAAAAATAATTCGTCATGTTATTGATTTTTTGTGGCCCATGATTGCTTGAACTTCAGCGCAGACTACTGGCTTGCAGTAGCAAAAAAATGCTGCTGAAGCAACAAACGCTCAAAATGGTTTTACAAATGTAAGCAAGAAATCATTGTTCAAGACAATAAATAAAATATTATATAATACGGCCAATAATATTAAATATTAACAAAACAGGCTTACGAATACTCGAATAGTGGCGTACATACACTGAAAACTTTACGATACGAAAAATATTTAAACAATTGCTGTTACAACAAAAACGCAGCCCGAGAGAACAAATATTTCATGGTTGGTGGGCTCTCCTTGGAGTCTTGGTTTTGTCACATGACGTTTCAGGTTGTTATGTAGGATGCCTAAGTACGAAAGTTTATCCTGTTACGCGCTGTACGAGAAAAGGCAGAATATACAGAATGTCGTATTTGAAGGTTGAGTCAAAAATCCGAAATTTTATTTCCGCCCCCCCCCCCGCCGAGTTCTTGGGTACTAATGAAACCAGTGACCTTCCACATGGCCCAAGGCTTTGCATAAATTAGTGATACACAATCCCACGCATAGCTATTTATATGGTGGACCAGGGCGGTTCCTCACGTATTTCCTTCCTTTTGCTTCCCTCAGTTGAAAAGAAGGCGATGGAGCGAAAGACTGCCACGCCCTTCTGCTCAGCGCGTGAAAGATCCCGTTCCAACGCCCAACGTTCGTTCTAACGAATTCGCAGATTTTCATATTTTCAATTAACAGATTTTCCCCAGTTTTCTCTCCTATTCCTTCCGATATCACATGAGATCGCAATGTTATGTGGTTGTGATCAATCAACGGTTCCACTCTCCCTTTCAAATGTACGGCCAAGTTATTCAAGGTCGTGGGTAATGTGACAAACGAAGTAGAGGTCGCGGGCAGTGTGTCCAGAGAAAATTGGCGCAGATTTAAAAGTAAGGGTTGTACAAATTTCTCCGGATGGCAATACGTCACTGGATGTCTGGCTCAATGATAATCCATTGGGAGAAGTTCGCTTGACAGTTGTTATCAAAATTTTAACTGTACGAATTCCCATCTTCTATTTCAGTCAAAGAAATGACGCCATTAAAATGAAATAATATACAGTCAGTTTCAAATTCTCAATTGAGCAGTAAAATGAACATTTTGAAATCGGAAGTATCTTGATTTTTTAATCGCGCTTACAAAGAGTGATATAACAAACATTAACATACTAAGTTGAGTTGGGAGGTTTTCACAGCAACCAATCTGGTCTGTTAAAAACGTAGTCCCTCTGGTAAAGCGAATAATTTTGAACTCATACTTAATTTATTTTACATTATTTTTAAGTTAGCAATAAATATCTGAATGATTTAATAACAGCAAACGAAGACAAGAAAAGAATCGCCATTCAAACATATTCCTGACCGTTCGAAAGAAAATGTTAATACAACTGCAGAATTTAAAAAGAAAGTAAACATGAAATAGTTAATAAATAGTCAAGAATATAATCTGAAACCAAATCCCCGTAAGTTGATGGACAAACCCTTCGCAGGGTCTGCTCAGGTATTTGCCGGTTTTTGGATCAGAGGAAATGGCGGAAAAACGAGCTCTCAGCGCCAAACGACCTCTGATATGGCCGGAGGGCGGCTTCGAACCAGGGGTTATTTTTGTGTTTTGCTTGCTGGTGGTCGAAACCATGCCTACCAATGCCGGGGCTCCGACCTAGGATCTCCGTTTTCGAAGTTTCAATTGCTGACTCGAAGCTTAGTATCCTATCGCAGATGGTATTAGAAAATACAGAATGTGTCGTAGTTCATTGTTTTCCCTTGTCCCCTTCTGCTGGTTTCATTTTGTTTTTTGTAGCCTGAACTGTAGCGTAAAATAGATTGTTACGTGTGTTTACTATGCGAAATACATTTTAAAGTTGTGCGAATTTTTCGCGAATGACTTTTGAGCGATAAAAATATAGAGCGGGTTTGTGAATTAAACGTAACATCCAATTCGTTGTTTGATTTTTACCATAAGTTATGTGACAGCAAATACGCAGTACAGTACGTACTTGTATGTCTGTAACAGCATTTCTGGCCGGGCCACGCAGGAGATTGGCGGCCGGGATTGCTTAATTACGGTTGGATGATTAGCTGGTATTCTATGTTTACATCATAATCAATAATTACATCATAATATTAAAAAAAAAAAAGCAAATATGTTGGCAACTCTTATTCGGCAGAATGCATCGCCAATACAGATGTGGATGATAATTCAAACATTGGGAAATGCACTTCAGGCTTGCCTTGAAACTGAAGAAAATATCCTATATTCTCAAATCGCTGAACTATTAATGAAATGCAAATGCGTTGAGATCTGGGAGGAAGTTTTATCTACGTTCTCATATCTCTACAGGAAACCAAAGAGTCGTTGCGGATAGGAACCATACTCGAAGTAGTTTCGGGAATCTCTACTCGAACAACAAGCGTTGGAAAAGTTAGAGCGTAATCTCTTGGAAGTCCATCTAGACCAGAAAATGTGTGTCGGTGTGGGTGATACCAGAAAAGTGCCATATAATAATATCAGAATGACGGCGGAGCAAATATGCGGTTTTTGTATCCGAATATTGATCTCCCACAGGTGCCTCAATGTCTTTTTCGTCGGATGTGAGACAAACATTCATGACATCGCAGAACTTTGAAAGAATCTTTTCCGGCCTCATT